AAATTTATTTAATTTAATTATTTATTATTTAATTATTTAATTTATTATATTCTTATTGGATGAATTTAAAATCATGTGACTTTTATGTATAACATGTGATTTTGATATGTGATTTTTATATATGACTTGTACATGTGATTTTACATGTGATTTATTATTTATTATTTATTAATTAATTTTTATAATTTACATAATTTGTATGATTTATATAATCTATAATTTTCATAATTTTTATAACTTCTATAACTTTTATAATTTTAATAATTATCATAATTATTATAATTATCATCATTTACAATAATTATCGTAATTATCATGATTTACATAATATCTATTATTTATTATTTTTATACAATTATAATAATTTAGTCATAAAATATTAGATATAAATATAGCTGGTCTTATAACTATAAAAGAGCAAGTTGTAACAATTAGTTCAACTAATAACTTAAATAAAATGTTTTTAATTAAATATTTATTACTTGATTACCTTTATTAAATCTTATTTATAAACTAATTAATTATATGTAATTATATCATTATATTTATATTGCACTATTGAATATTTAATCAGGTTATTATAGAATATCAGTACTGTATTGCTATAGGATCATCCACACACTAAGTAAATACAAAGGAAGATATTTATTAGTAGTAGTAAAATTCTATCCTATTTTATTAATAATATAGAAGAAGTCACATTGCATATTGATCCTAAAGCAACTGGATCTTAATAATAAACAAACAAAATTGATAATTAAATACAAATAAATAATTGGTTGAAGTCACAATTTATAATAACATTCAAGAAGAGTTCAAAATAACAAATTGTGACATCATATAACATGTAATTTATATAAATATATTATATATTTTAGTTTAGAAAAAGCAGTCAAGTTAATAACTCAAGAAATTTTTTGTTTAATAGAAATTTCAGATGGTTGAAGTTACAATTTATAATAACATCCAAGAAGAATTCAAAATAACAAATTGTGACATCATATAACATGAAATTTATATAAATATATTATGTATTTTAGTTTAGAAAAAGCAGTCAAGTTAATAACTCAAGAAGTTTTTTGTTTGATAGAAAATTCAGATTGGTTGAAGTCACAATTTATAATAATATCCAAGAAAGTCCAAAATAACAAATTATGACATTATATAATATGTAATTTATATAAATATATTATGTATTTTAGTTTAGAAAAAGCAATCAAGTTAATAACTCAAAAAGTTTTTTTTTGATAGAAACTTCAGATAACTTGTAAAGTTATATTTGTATTGGTTTTTGATCTTGAAAGATAAATTGCTTATAATAAATCATTGTTATTGACTTGAAAGATAGTCACTTAATAAAATTATTATTTGAATCATAATTTTTAAAGTTCTAAAATAATATACAAAACTTAGTGAAGTTATTGGATATCATTTTAGCTCATCACAACAAGAACACACATTATCTACTTTTAGTAATAAATCTTAGTCTTTCTCATTATAAAAACAATCTTTTTTGGTATTTAGTTAATAAAACATATGATTAACACATCAAGAACTTAAAATCTATAAAAATAATAATAATAATAAAATCTTATTTTTATTATATTTTATTAAAAAATTTATCAAAATAAAGTTTTTTTTGAATGATATTTATTAAATAAAAATGAATTAAAAAAATTTTTTAAAATTTCTTATTAAAAGTATTTTTAAATAATTTTTTATTTTAACTTAAATGTTAAAAATTTCAATTTATCATTTTTAACACAAAATTTTGCAAAATTTTACTTTGTTAACATGTTTTGTGATATTATAAAAACTTGTTCTTAACGTTTTAAAGAATATATCTACAAATTTTTCACGATCTTTAAATAATTTTTCATTAAGATATAAACAAAAAACATGTTTATTATTATTTTTACCAGGAACTGTATTTATTATTAAATAATATATTAATATTGCTCTTTATTATAAAATTAAAAAATTTAATTATTAATTTAATTATTATATAAAAAAATATTAAAGCAAAATATTTGTTTTAAAAGAATATTTCTTTGCAAATATAATTGCAAAAATATTAATAGCTTTAAGAATTTATAATTATTTTCAAATATTTTTTGGAGCTTAAAATTATAAAAAATTAATAAATATTTCAAACTAAATATAATTAAAAAACTTAATAAACAAAATAATAATAAATTAAAAAAAATTATTAAATTATTTAATCAATTTATATTAAATTCAGAAAAAATATATTTAAATTATATTTTAATTTAAATTTTTTTATTTGTTTTATTATTTTTTATTTTATTTTTTATTTTTTATTTTATTATTTATTTTTTATAAAATAAAATTTTTAACTTTCAGAATCCTATTATAATTTAATATTTTTAGTATTATTTTATATATTTTAATAAAAATAATTATATAAATAATTATTTAAATAATTATTTATTTTATTAATTATTTATAAATATAATTAACTTTCTAAATATATATACTATATTTTTATTTTATAAATATATGCTTGATTTAATAATATTACTAAGTAAAATATTCTCTATAAATATATAAACTCTCTAAATGTACTTTTAGATTTGATTTTTATATGTCTCCCAACAATATATATTTAGAAAGAGTTGATTGTATAATATATAAATCTGAATTATATAATAATTTTTTGATAAAGTTAATAATATAAAAAAAATTAGTATTTGAATCTGAATTAAGATTATTTAATAAATGAAAAATATATTTATAATAAAATTTTGCAAGTAATATTTTTTATTAGAATACAAAAAATAGTTTCATAGATTAGGTTTTGCGATACAAGCTTTTTTTCAAAAATATATTTTTGTTTATTTATTTTTGAATTTTTATGTTATATATTAATCTTGTAATTTAATTGATTATTGCTAAAATTATCTTGTAATCCAAATTTTGGAAGATCATCTTATTATAAAGATATTATTAGTTTATTTTTTTTATTTAAATTATCAATTTTTAATATAATTATTTTTTTGAGCTTTTAAGCAAAATTAATTAACATAAAATTTAAAGATAAGTAACTTATTATAAAAAATATAATTATTTTGATAAAAAATAAGTAATTTTATTTAAATTATTAGTTTGATTATAATTTAAATTATTAATTTGAACCAGTTATAATAAAATTAAAATTATATTTTTTATAAAATTACTAATTATAATTGTAAATTATATTATAGTTTACTTTTTCTATTATTAATCTCTTTAATATTAACATTTTTTTATTATCAATATTTATTGCAGAACAAATTTTACTTGAATTAATATATCAATACTAATTCTAATTTTTGAATTATTAATTCTCTTAAATATTAACAAAAATACCTAGTTCCATTATATTAACAATAGAGAGTGTGAACTGTATTATAAATTAAAAATAGTTAGCAATTTATCTAAATTACTGTAAATCATATAAATCACAAAACATTTCTATTTTGATAAATACATAATATATAAATATTAAAAAATAAAAAACAAGAAATTTATTATTTGTTTATTTCTTTTAAATTAATTTTATTGACTAAAATAGTTAGTATTTTTATATAACTTAATATAATTTTTTGTTTTAATTGTAAAGTCATAGTTTTGTATATAACTTTTTTGTCTTTATTGCAAATCATAATTGTTTTAAACAATTAATATTTTACTTGTCTATAAATTATATTTGAGAATATAGATATATTTATCTTTGTTAAAAAGAAGATTTTTGATCTTATCCTAGTTGATTATAAAAATAAATATATATTATTTATTTCTAAATAATATTATTTCTTTCATGTGAATTTATTTTGAATTGCACATGTAAGAAACATGTGATATTTGTAAAAAAATAAAATCCAACTAAAATAATAATAATACATTATAAAATAATAATTTATAATAATTAATTATTAATTTTAACCAATTAAAATAAAAATGAATTTTCATAATATTATATTTGCCATATAATTTTTTTAATTTACAATACTATATCACAATAACAATTTTTTATTGTAAATCTTATACATAATAATCAATTTGACCGATCAGAATTCGTTATTTTCTTCTTATAGGTTTATTAATTTGTAAGAGGGATTTTTTATATGATTGTTAATCATCAAGTTATGATAAATTAAGGTGGATATCTTATACTGTTCCCCACTATATGTGCGAGTGTGATATTTATTAAGGACACTTGAAGAAACTAGTGATTCATTAATAATTTATTATTATTATTATCATTCTCTATTCGAAATAGATTATAAATGAAAGGTTAATGATTGTGTTTATTGTTTATGTGGAGTACGCTGATAAAATCGTCTCCATTTATCATCAATACGAGTAAGATAGTAGGTACCCCCGAAAAAGGAATCCGAGACTGGACTTTTATCGCCAACAGGACTGAAATCTTTTTTTAAATGCGATTCGTCTCTTAGACGCATAATTTCGTTAAATTTCTCTGGTGAAATTTTGACTCGAGAATCGAGCCGATTTTTGATGTTTAGGTTTTTGGCGATGGTTGTGATCGGCGCAATAATTTTTATAGAAAAGAATGTAGCAGCAAGGCCTGATCCATATGAAAAAAGACCAACGCGTTTTCCAACCTGTGATTAATTATTAATTATATTAGTTTCGAAGGAGATGAGAATTTCTTTTCTTTTTGATTATACAAAGCAAAAAATAGAAACTTGCCAACTGATCAGAGGGCGTTTCGCCTAAAAGTGAGACAAGCGAACCGTATAAAGAAGCGGTGTACATATTGCCATTTTGAGTGGCGACAAATAGACCAGGTAACACATTTTTCGTATACTCTTCTTTAGAAAGATTTACAAAAGCCTTTTCCAAGTCTTTTGAATCCAAAGAACTTTCAATCTCAATACCCTAATTATGTAATAACAGTAATTAGAAAACGACAAATTAGCTGATCTAATTTAAATTTTCGATAGATACCTTGAAATTGGCAACACTTTGAAATTGTTTGTCGTCTGGATTGCGCACAAAGTCGTTGAATTGTAAACGTGCAAAAGCTTTTTGCACCAATTTACAATAAGGAGCGTGAAAAAGAACATAATCGATCGAGCCAAGATTTGGCCTTGCAGATTTATCCTGAATAGTATTGAAATTAATTATAAAGGGCAGGAAACCATAATTCAAGTTTTCTTTGCTTACTTTGGCCACTAGTTTTTCTATGTACCGATTGTAACAAATATCTAATGATTTCAAATAGCATAAATTGCTGAAGTGGCCATCAACCACTGGAAATTCTGAATTTAAATCAGGTTTATCTAGATTTTTAATAGCATTAATGTAATTATTCGAAAGAATTTGAAGCGAATAATTGAAAGAATGACTTACAGAAATCCCAAACATGTTCCATATGTGTTCCGCGAAGTCCTGCATCGGATTAATAAAAGATTAGATAATTATAATATAAAAGTTCAAGGATTTGATAATATTACCGCTTTCGAGTACAATAGGTGCATTAGGACCAATAAGTAATGCGATGCATCCTGCACCCCCAGTTGGTCTGGCAGGTCCAGATGCATAAACTGCAATATCTCCGGAAACAACAAGCGCGTAACGTCCATCCCACCAAGATGACTCGACCCAATGAACAGCATTGAAAAGTGCAGCAGTACCTAAAAAAATAATGATATCAATAATATATCATATAATTTTTGATTAACCAGTTCAAAAATATACCTCCATAACATGCGTTAGTTGTATCAATGCCCATGACATCGGTGTTTCCTGATTCCGTGAAAAGTTGCATCAATACAGTTTTTACTGCTTTTGATTTATCAACTGGAAAGAGGAAGATTTAGTCAATAATTTTCGAAATACAGTCGTACCTTGATATAATCACACCTTCGGGAAAAGAAAAAGTGATTATAAAGAGTTTGTGACTACATGTAAGTCAAAGTTCAATAGCTGGAACTGAGAAAAGTGTGATTTAACTAGTGTATGACTATATCGAGTGTGACTATATCGAGGTACGATTGTAGAGTAAATGCTGATAATCAATCATACTTATTGTCTCGGTACCGACTTCCAATCGGCCAATATCTTTGTAGGAGATATTGTATTTTTCAACCAAGTTTTGTACAGCTAAAAGTTGTTATTGAGGAATTAAATGCTATGTACATATTTTCAAATAGAATCAATATGCGTTAATAGATTTTTTACCTGTTAATGCTACCGAATTAATGTCTAAACAAATACGAGTTAATGATTATCGTGTTTTTAAATAAATGACCCAATAAACTTTGGTATGAGGTAGGTACCTTCACGGTCGTCACAAACACCCATTCTCGTTTGACCGAGACCAATGGTGTATTTTCCCGAGGAAACACCATCGAATTTTTCGAGTTCAGCTTGTTCCACATACTTTGAAACGGTTAATTGTGAGCGAAAATGTGAGGGAGTAAAACGAAAGAATTTTAATAACTTTAGAAATGATATAATTTATTTGCTTCTCACTCACTCTCTTTGGAAAATAAATTTCTACGGCCAATATGCCGGTATTTTTCGGTGTGCCGTTAACGGTAATGGAAGCCATTATTAAAGTGCAAATTATTTAAGTTCGGGAAAACGTACGAAGCATATATCTTGACCGTAAAAAATTCATTTTAAGCTTTGTGATTCATGCATATAAAATGGGTGATCTATCGCGAATAATTTCCGAAATCGTATTTTTTAAGCTATTCTGAATTTTTACGTTACGCATCGATCTTGTAATTTGATTGGTTAATTAACATGCGTCACGAAAAACCTAAATTTACTGCGGTATTGCGGAATCGATAAATTCGTTCGTTGTCTCCTCTCACAAGCGGAACAGACAATGCCGGGAAACAGCCATTTTAATACATTATCATCGATATTAGCTGCCAATTTGCCTCTTTCGAAAAATTTAGCATACGCTCATAAAGGCATGTTGTAACTTTGTCATTCGTTAGGTATTTTTTGAATTCATTCTCAATCGTTGATTAAACACTTTAAGGAATCCTCTCGAGTACATTTCCAACGAGTGCATTAATTGAGAATTCTCAAGCGTGTCTTTTTACACGATCATTTAGTAGTACATTAGCTATGAGACAGCAGTATTTCGATACAAACAAATTTGTACAGAAATTAGAAAGTGAAGGATTTACGCATGAACAGAGCGAGGCTTTTATGTATTCATTAACGGAAGTTATGAACGAAAGGTTTGCTGCTCAGTGTTTATTAGAATTATAATTATTATTGCTGTATACTATCACAAATTATGGTTGATAGTATGGAAACGATTACCAAAAATTTGGTAACCAAAGCGGAACAGGAGAAAGTATGAATGCAAAGTAATATTCAGTTTGTGATTTGAGTGTTGATTTTGTATTAATCAAAATCTACCATAATAATTGAGATTTTACCATTTGATTGTAATTTATTGATTCATATTTTTACACACACAGAGTGTCTACACATCAAAAGTAGATTTCGCACAACTGAAATCTGAGATGCAAATGGTTGGGAAAAATGACGCGTCATTGATGAAATCAGAGAATGAAAGACTTTTAGCGGAAATCGAGAAATTAAAAGCGAAATTGAATGAAGAAGTAAGACGTACACAAGCGGGTGTCCGTCTAGATTTAAACCTGGAGAAAGGTCGAATAAGGGACGAAGCTAGTTCATTGGAGCTGAAAATTAAAGAAACAGAAACGCGTATCGAGAGTGAAATTAGCAATTTAAGAACGCAGATGGAAACTACGAAGTTTCAAATGCTACAGTATATGCTGGGTAAATAAATATGTTTTTTTCGGGCTATTTAATTTTACTGATTCTAATTACATAATATCCCATCATTAGGTACTTTGACCGGTGCAGGAGCATTAATATTAGGTAAAATCTTTTACTGTTCAATTTGAATTGTATTCTTAATTTCTATGTGAATTTACATTTATTTCTCACATCATTTGCAGCTTACCTGAGAATGTTTCGGTGAAAAATATATAATAGACTAGGATTATAATAGACTATATCAAATTCTTAAATTAACGAATATCAGACAATTGGTTCCAAAAAGAATACAAAAAACCAACAAAGATGGTGTCTATTAGTAAATATGCATTCATGTAATGAATCACCAAATTATGTACTTATTATAATTTATTACATCGAGAGTTCAATTGACGTAAAAGCATACATTACTATAAACCAATGAATTGAATTGAATTGAATTGAATCGAAAATTTTTTAAACAATGCCAATAAGTCGATTTTATTGTATTAAATGCACACAAATCGAAAAGGTTTATTTATCAGTAATATTACTGCTAGTTCCTTTAATTAATTGATTATATATTCGTTCTACACGATCATAAATTATTTTTAAAGTCTGATTTGTAGTGGCGAGTTTTTTTCTCGCGTTAATCAATTTTTGAAGGGAAGGTTGAATTGGAGGAGCTTCTGTTGCTTCGTTGAATAGTTGAAGTTCTAAAAATTTTTTATTATATGTAATGTAAATTAATGATGAAAAAGTTTAAAAAGCGATGATATAATTCGTGTACCTGCGAGCAATCTCTCGATCTCTTTATTTAGTTCTCTTTGACTTGTTTTTACTGCAACAATTCGTGAATCCATCTCTTGAACAATTGGGGTCAACAAATCTAAAATTCCTCGAGCAAACTTTTCTTTTTTCAATTCATCGACTTCATTAGAATCAACTTTTACACTTGATTCCGTCATTGCTGATTACAAGGCTCTCGTTATAGTGAATGTGTCCGGGCTATTAGAGAAAAATTCACTATATCGAGAGTCTATAAATGAATTCACTATATCGATGGACTGTTTTCACTTCACTATATCAAGAATTTCACTACCAAGTTATCATTATCATTATCATCATGTGGAAAGATTAGATTACTTCATGCACGTGGCTTTACAAAATGAAATTTTAATTTTAGATCTTTAGTTATCTGACATCAATTAGTTTACCATGAATGAAAAAACTTTTAAACTTCCAGAAATTATTGATAATGAAAACGGATGGGGTCCCTCACCTGCCATGTTTCCCGAGAAATTTAGGGACATACCATATGCACCATATAGTAAAGCGGACAAGTTAGGTAGAATTGCCGATTGGTCGACTCCAGAACAAAAAGAAAAAGAGAGTACTGGACGACAACGATTAAATTATAGGAATTACCGAGGCATGTCTATTAAATTTATTATTAATTTAATTTGACCAAATGCCTACTAGAAACTGAATATTCAACCTAACTTTTTTTTATATATAGATCAATATACAGCTTATGGGAGTGGAGTATCGAGTGCTTTCGCATATACACATGACGAAGACGAAGCATCTTTCTCTGTCGTCGATAATCGTACAACAGCACAGAAAAAAGCTTCACAATTTCGTGTTACTGGTGGGACAAAGGTGAATAAATAGGATAAGATCAATAATTTGATATATTGATATTGTTAATCATGAATTAATAGACTCGGCAAGGAGGTCGGGGAGGGCAGACTAATCGTAACCAAAGAAATGGTCAATTCACCCGAACAGGTATTCCCGGGAGAAATATGTTTACTGGAAAAAATGCCGCTGCTGTTGTTAGAAGGAGATTTGGCTGGAAAGACTATGACAAGGTAACATCGTATTATAAACCATATAGATTATATTCTCCTTTTATTTTAACTGATGTCTTTTTGGAGTACAGCCTCAACGCGCACGCGACGCTTCTGTCAACGTAGGACCTGATTGGAAAGTACTTGAAGAAATTGAATTTAATCGACTTTCTAAACTCAATCTAGAAGTAGAAGATGGCGAAGATCTGTAAGTGAATAATGAATACCTTATATTTGAAAATATTTATTTTTTCTTTAATAAAATCATCATCGTCATCAGGTCAACTTATGGAACTTTGTTTTACTATGATAAATCATATGATCGTGTGTCGACAAAGACAGAAAAACCTTTGCAGCAAATAGAACGTGTTCGACATATTACTACCACTTCAAAAGATCCGATAATTGAACAGGTATTTTTTCTTAAATTTTTTTATTAAATCAATTTTATAATTAAAATAAAAAATTTCTATTATTAACCAATAGCTCGCCAAAGAAGACGCAGCGATGGTTTTTGCCACAGATGCCATTCTTAGTCTTTTAATGTGTGCACCACGAACAGTCTACCCATGGGACATGGTTATCAATCGGGTAGGAAATAAGTTATTCTTTGATAAAAGAAATAATGGTGTTTATGGTATGCATATTTAAATAGGTAATAAAAACAATTTTTTTTATCGTTCACTTTACTGAAAATTTATCACAATTGTAATTATTACAGATTACATCACCGTGAACGAGAATGCTGCCGAGCCACCAAATGAGACAGGTGACAAGGATAATATCAATTCACCGAGTGCCCTAGCGTTGGAAGCTACTCTGATCAATCATTTTTTTGCAAACCAAGTTGTAAACGAAGTTGGTATTTTTTTTTTTATAAAGACAGAGAAAATTGAGTTTGTAAAATTAAAAATGAACTAAATTAAAAATAACCCACCAATAGTCAGAAAAATATGAATTCGATAAGTCGAATCCTTTTCCGAGTTCTCCTGAAGAATTTGAATATTTGGCATCATGCGCGTATCGTTATCGTCGTTTTGATCTTAGCGTAAAAGAAGAGGAAGATTTAACTCTTATTGTACGCACTCAGTTGGACTCTGCTGTGAAAACGACAGCAGGAGATTCATTCATCACAATTAAAGCATTGAATGAATTCGATTCTCGAGCACAAGGTGCTGCTGGTGCATTGGATTGGCGGCAAAGATTAGATACTCAACGTGGTGCTGTCGTAGCGACAGAAATGAAAAACAATAGTTGTAAATTGGCCAGATGGGCTGTGCAAAGTATTTTGGCCGGAGCTGATCAAATGAAACTTGGGTGATTAGCATTTTTACTCTGTATTAATTTTATATATTAGCTAAAAAAATCTCTATCGTCTTATAGATACGTATCACGTGTTTCTCCAAAAGACCACCTTCGTCACGTAATTCTTGCCACACAATATTATAAACCTCGTGATTTCGCCACACAAATGAATTTATCGGTTTCTAACGGTTGGGGTATCGTACGAACTATTGTTGATCTTTGTATGAAATTGCCAGAAGGCAAATATGTCCTATTAAAAGATCCTAATAAGGTGAGAATCGTTCGTTGTCTTTTCTTTTTTCATATGTTCATCTTAAAATTATTAATAAATTTTTATCTGATAGCCGGTGGTTCGACTTTACTCGGTGCCTTCGAATTCATTTGAGGCTGAGGAAGAAGCAGCATTAGATGATGTCGATGATTTAGATGAGGATGAAGATAATATACCATCGGAAAAATAATAAATATGACTAAAGAATTGTTTTGGGTATCGCGTGCCGTTGATAACGTTAATTTAAAGTTGTTGATTATAAGTTATAAAAACCATGTTATAGGATATCGATATTATTACCAGTTAGCGATTTTATTGGTTAATAAGTTTCGACTATTCCATACAGAACTAGAACAAATCAGAAACATGCAAGTTTAATTTCCACTTTATTTCGCCAATCTGGACTATAATGGATGTGTGTCCTTGTGTGTAGAAAGTTAAATTAAATGTAGCGGTTTTTTCGACCAATTATCAGCCCCTGAACAATAGCTTTACGACGACACATGGTCGCTTTGTTCAAGTAATATCTATCGTCTATAACACATCTCGCTGTTTGCCTGCTCATTATTTTCCCACCATTGCATTTGTTACCAAACAAAGCAAAATCATAAGGTTTGCTTTCGAGGTTCTTTTCTTTCTATTCCTTTTGCTGTTACTATTACTACTTACTACTTACTTTTATTACCATCAAAACACACAAACATTTTGTCTCTCCTTGATTGTTTTTTAAAATCAAAAAAATTTGCATACATATACATATCGATATAGTCTTGGTCTTTATCATTTCAAACAGTATTTATTATTTATCATTCTTTCGCGTATATTTTCTACAAACTATTTATATATATATATATATATATTTTTGGCTGTACAACAAGTTCGTTCTTCACTCTTTTATTAATAGCCAATTTAATAAAAGCTGTGTGCGATACCTTATATTAAAACCACCTTTTTACTAAATGTGCTGTCCCCGACTACTCGATCTGTATAACATAATAGATGGAGTCTCTATTAACATTGATAAATGAAGTCGTGGACAGACCACCTTCCTTGACTACCTCTAACACTCATCCTCCTCAACCACCACCACCTATACTTTCTCACAATAACCCGTTTGATATAAATAAAGACGGCCGTGAAATCTTTGATTCGGAAGGAAGAAATTTGGACATTTATAATAATAGCAATAATAACAATGACAATAATCCAAATAAAAATAAAAAACAGGACAATAATAACACCAACAACAATTCAGAAAACTTAACTATAGATGATTCTTCTGACAACAAAGGAAAAGTACAACTCTCAAATTCCCTTCCAACACCAATTTTTAAAAGTTCCATTTCTGCTGCTCTCAATTTATCGGTGATTCCTGAACAAACTGAACTTATGACTACAGTTGCAGAATCAAAACTGGAAAGTCGACTATTAACCACTACTAATTCTACCTCAAAAACATTATTGAGCGAAGGAAGCTCCTCTTCCTCTGATGAAAATTCTGTATCGTCATTAAATAGCTTAGAATCTAATAACAATAAGGAATTAGCAATATCAGAGCAGGAAGGAAAGAGGGTAATCGAGGAGGTGAAAGAAGAAGACAGTTCTGTGATAAAAAGTCGTCATGTAAATAGCAATAATAATAGAGACGCACTTTTTAGAATAACTGAACAAGAAGAAATTATAAACGACAACAATAAAGCGGAAGAAAAGGAGAAACAAAAAAAAGAAAATCCATTAATAATTAAAATTGATTATATCTCAAAAACTGTGCCTATTGAAACAGAACAAGCTTGTGAAATTTCAGATATACTTCCCCAATCATCATCACCCTCATTTGCTATACATTCAGATAAATCAATCTTGGGTGAATATTACCCCAACATTAAAGAACCACCTTCTTCCGTATCAGTCTCACCAGCACCAACACCTTTATTAATGGCGGGTGATCGATATCCCCCAATGACACCCTTGCGAAGCATTAAAGATTTTACTCGAGCTGGCGTATTAACCTCCAGGGAAGTTCGATATCCTAGTCCCGGTACCTTTTTTGCAGGAAAGAGTGGCCCATTGGGAGATATAAGTGGGAGATTATCACCAAGTAAAAGGGTAAATTTCATATCTAATATAATTGATCCGATATAATTATATTTCTATATAAAAATTCCAATTAAAATATAAGTGTATTATTATTTTTATATTATTATGGTTATGATTCTACGATTCTTTAATTTAAATTACTACTACTTACTATTGAGAAAAATTTAGTCAAAAAATTTCCGTGTTTGACTGTTCTCAAAGATCATTCTTACAAGTTAAAAATCGATTTCAAAAATCTTGCGCGCAAATTCGATTGCTGTTAGCCAAGATTCTTTTCACCAAATTCAAATAGAAACGAACGTTGGCCAACACCAACGATTGACACTACACGACCTGAACGTTCAGGGCGAAAAACAATGGAAGGCTGGCCTACCTCACCACGCCGTATGCAATTGGCAAGCCCACGCTTCAAATCTTTAACCGATCTTGTGGAAGAAACGTCAGAGAATCCTGAACAGGTACTAAAATATTAGATTCGCTATTACATTATTATATATAATGTTTGTTATTCTTTATTATTACCTTGATAATATTAAAATTTTCCTTTATAGATAGAAATAGGAGGAAAAAGACCGGAATCTTTGAAATTACCTGTTCAAGTTTCTCAGAAAAATATAAGTTCACTTTCACTTCTTGAAGAAAATGATGCAATCATAAAAGGATCAGATGAGAAGAAAATTAATTACGAAGAAATTCAAAAAGAAAAAATTCCAGCAGATCCTGAGGATGATAAAGAAAAAGAAAAAGAAAATACACCTGGAAAATTCTCATCAAGATCCGTTCCACTTAGTGAAATTGTTCAATCAAATGATAGTGAAATACCCAGTAAACGTTTTCAATCACGTTCACGATCGTTTGCACCAAAACCACCACCAATTTTTAGTTTAAGACGTTCTTCTGCCTCCTTTAAAAGTGAGAATTTAGGAAATGAAAAATCAACAAAATCATTGGGATTGATTTCAGAAGAAGAAGAAGAAGAAGAAGAAGAAGGAGAAGAAGGAGAGGGAGAAGAGGAAAAAAAACAAGAAACAAAGAAACCAAGAAACGACAAGGGAAAAAGCCGAAGTGAAAGGCACATTTCAGGTTTGTATAATATGCCTCCTTTGGTTGAGAATAGTGAGTTAGAAGAAGATATCGGGGAAGAGGAGGAGGAAGCGCTTGATTCAACTCCAACACCTTCGCCCATAATAAAATCCTCAGATTTAACATCGAGCTCGGACATTGGTCGTAGTATAATACAAACATCAGACATTAATTTATCTCCTCGAGACTCTCAAACCAAAAAACCTGGCGATAATAATTTTCTCCGATCAATACAAACGAGGAGAACAGAAAGAAATGTATTGACTTTGAAAACACGGACAAATTTATTGATAATATCAGAAACCGAAGATGAAGATGATGATGAATCGAAATCTCCTGACATTGCACAGACATTTAATGATCGAAATATTTCACCTCCAAAATCAGCACCATTACTTACTTCATCAACATTTGATATTTCACCAACTTCTTCCAAAACTAGTTGGAGATGGCCTAAAAGGCAATTTAGTCCAGCTCGAGAAAAATGTAAAGAACCCAATGATTCTAATGATGACCCTTCAATGCATATCGGGAAGGTGGGAAATCTATGGGCTAAAAAGACGCTAGGACAATTAAGAGCATATCATAAGCGTCATAGTCCGAGTATTTGGAGTAAAGGGTTCGGTTCTTCTAATAGTTCAAGTCCGTTAAAAGAAACATTTTCTTCTGTACAAATATCCCCTGTTACCCCTGTTGCCCCTGTTAGTGATGTTGAAGCAATTAAATCTCCAATGACTCCTAATTTACCTGTTGCTGATCAATTAGAGACCATCGATGAAGAGGACGATGAAGAAATTGGAGTATGGTCAAGCGAAGAAGTTGATCTCACAGATTCTGGTAAAGAAGACAAAAAACCGAATCCACCATCCCCATCGTCATCGATACCAATCAATCCATCATCAATCATTGAAGAAATAACAGAACCACCACAAGGAATGAAAGTTTCTCCTGAACACTTGACAGTGGTAGGCGGAACAGCTGTGTACAGGGAAAATTCACCAAGTTCTTCGAACACTTCTTTACAATTACGAACCAATCCTAATAATTCATCACTTGGCAAACATAATGCTAAACCATTATTTGAGACTACATTCACTATTTCTAATATCACAGACAGGCCATTGCGCTACGAAATACTTTGGCCAGCATTCCGATTTGATGTGTCACCAGCATACGGAATAGTTCAAGCAAAGGGCGTAACCGTAGTAAAAATATCAGTATTGATGAAACATCTGAACGTCGGGTCAAAACGCGATGAAATTAAAGATTCAAAGAAATTAATGGGAATGCTCAAAGGATCTACGAGAATAGATAAAGAGAAACCATTAATGGGACACACCCGAATACTCGTACTGTGTGAAAATGGAGAAAGAAGAGAAGTATTAGTTGATATTGTTCAAGTAAAGAAAAAATCAAAAGAACTTGAACCTGTTAAAAACATAAAAAATGTTAAAGATGGAGGAAATACCAGTACTAATAGAACTTTCATAAGTGGAGTTTCACGGACTGTAGGTGATTTATTAATGGGAAAAAAATTAAGAAAAGAGAAATCAAACGTTAAAGGAAAAAATCCAGTTATTGTTGACAATAACAATAATCATAATATTACATCTGGTAGTAAATTATCACGGAGGAGTAGATCAACTAGTCGAAATACTAGTCCAGATGGTAAAAAAGTACATAGCAATCGTAATAAACCATCTAATCGTATAAGTCGGCCGAGTACACCTGATTATAAATTAGTTGATCGACGCGTTAGCACTTCCCCGCAACCAATAATATCACGTTCACGTACACCCGAAGAATTTAGACAATTACCGCAACGAAAAAATCTTATTTATCTTGGAGTTCCTGGAAATATTAGTTGTCCCGATACTAATATCCGTGAAACTGCTAACGGTGTATTTCGTATTCATAATCCTACAAATAAACATATATCATGGCATTTAACAACTGCGACAAATCCTTTCCTAAAACGATCGGAATCATCTTCACAACAAAAAATTACCGATGAAGTATTTCTAATAATGAAAACACACGGATTCTTAAGACCTGGGCAATCAGAACGTGTAGATGTCAGTTTTCGTCCTTTATTCGTCGGTACATATGTACAAAATTTCATGCTTGAAGAATCTATGAATTCAGAAGCGGCTGGTGGCTTAGGTGGTGTATCTTTACGGATGCAAGGGGAAGGGAAACCAGATAATTCATCGAGTACATTAAATGAAAGACGAAGAGGAATAAGGGGAGTGGATTTTGTAGTATCCGAAAAAGAAATTCGAATACCCACAACAAGAGTTGGAAGACGGAGATCAATTGGGATCAAAATTGAGAACCCTTCTCCTCAATTAATACGGATTCGATGTAAATGTGAAGTAGTATCGGGAGCGATTGGAACGTCAGTTTTATCGATTCCTTTGTCTAGTGTGCAAATTAAACCAAAAGCGTTTGTTCTATTACCTGTACGCTTTCAACCAAAAGAATCCGGTGAGACTAAAGGTGTCGTAAAACTTCAAGCTGTTGGAAAAACTGAGGTGAAAGTGGATATCATAGCGGATGGTGTAGTTGATACTGGACCTTCGATTGAATTATCTCCTTGATTTGATTGGTTTAATCTAATATAATCTAATCTAATCTAATTTAATTTAATTTAATTATGACCAAGAATTTAACAATTGAATTGTTTAACGGACTTTTATTCAAAAGAGTATGAATAAGTTTCTTTTTTATAAAACGTTGGTGAATCAGGAACTTCGGGATCAAAAATTATTTTTAAAATAAATACTTTTCATCATTCTTTAATTTTCTCGATCAATTAACTCATTTTTCCTGTTTTTTCTTACTGCCTAATTCCCAACATTTATTATGTCTTTAATAACCTAATAATTAATAATTAATAGTAATATTATATTAACAGTAGTAATAATAATATTGTATTCGTCATCGATTTGAATTCCTTCAAAATTTGGCTTTTCTGAATATTTTAGATTTTATACATTATTTTCAGTTCATCCAAATCAAAACTATTTTATACAAACAAAAATATTAATTAATTAGCCAAAAGTTTTTGTATATTTATTTTTCTCTTATGAACAAGGAATAATCAATTATTTGCTTAAGCTTTTCTCTTCAGACATTTAATGTTTACACTTATTGGTTTTGTCTTTTGGGACTATGATTTCAATTATTAGATTCATTGATGATTATCTATTTTATATGCATTAGCTTTTTGTATAATTTGTATTTAGTGATTTTGAAAAAGGTGCATATATTAATGATTTAATTGATTCTTTTAAATTAATTATAATATAATAAAATCAGCAAAATAATACCAAATTAAATACTTGGAATATAAAATTAAAATCATTTATATAATTGCTAATTTCTTAATTATATTATTATGAGTTAAATTTTATTATTTCAAAATATTAAATTCTTATTGAACAATCACATTCATTGATTTTATTGAATAATATTTATTTTATTATATTTTATTGAACAATTTTATTATTTATATCTCTCCTCTTGTAATAAAATTAAAATTATTATATTATTATATGTTTATATAATTTGTAATAATTATATGATATATAATATCAAAATTAAGTAAATAATAAATCAAAGATAATAATAAGCAAAAAATTATTTAGAAGTATTAATTAACTTCTATACTTTTATTACTTTCAAAATTATTACTAAGATTCTTGTTATTCTATATTAAATTATATCTGTTTAAATATATATAAATGTAATACAAATCTACATAATGAGTGACATTACTTAAAAACAATTATAAAATAAATTTGAAAGAAGTGTAATGCCAAGAAATAATAAATGTAATACTAATTTAATCTAAGTACTACAATTTAAATTAGAGTGACATTAGCACTACATTAATTAATATTAAATGAAATTAATTTAAAATAGAATGAATTTAGATCTAATAATATTATAATAAAATAAATAATGTGATATTAAAAAGAATTAATTGGTGTTTTTGATAAATTATGTATAAATTAGATAAATTAAATAATTAAAAATAAAATTATAAATAGAAAAATATAAAAGGAAATATAAATAATTATCAAAATTATGTCACATGATATTTTACATGTGATCCAAAATATCAAATGGTAACAATATATAACTCTGTGAAAATTATGTTTAAATATTAACTATTCTATAAAGATTTGTAGCTCTAATTATAATATATAACTTTATAGATCTGTGAAAATAGTTAAATATAATTATTAAAAGTAATATAGTAGTAAATAAAAAAGAAATGTAGTAGTAAATAAAAAAGAAATATAGTAGTGAATAAAAAAGAAATATAATAATAAATGAAGTAATAAAAAATAGAGAAGCGACCTGTTATTTATATAATAGATTGCTACATCTATTATACTTTATCAGACTATAAAAAAATCTGCATCATACTTTATTTGCTCTCTATCAATATTAAAACTATAAAAAAATCTGCATTATACTTTATCTGTTCTCTATTAATATTATTATATTAGCTATTATCTATATAACTTTAATAAATTATTAGTATTTGTTATATAAAAAAAAACTGTTATACTTCTTTTACTTATTAATGATAATAATATCTCTAAAATACAGAAAATTTCTCTAAGTGTATCACAAGAGGTCCAAGGATCAGTTTTTGAAATACATTTAGAAAAATTTTTATAAATCAAAATTTTATTTCCCTTTAAAACAACAACAAAATAAATTTACTTAACTTCTGATATAAAAATTCATTATTCAATGACTAAATATCATTGTCAAATTTGCAAAAGGTATTTTATAACTTTCAGTAGACTGATACAGCATGTTAATATAGTATATCATGGAAGAAAAACTATTTCTCAACTAATAAGTTATATTTTGCAAAGATTACAACTATCTCAGTCAATACAAAGATTAGAGCATAATGCAAATTTGTGGAGTATGCTTATTACAAGATCATCTCTTTTGACAATATTGGTAGAATATAATAAAATAATAACATTATCTCTAAATATTGAAGAAGAAATAACATTATCACTAGATGTTGAAGAAAAAATGATATTATTACTAGATATTGAAGAAGAAATGACATTATCTGTGGAGATTGCTAAAGAGATTTCAGAAAAAAGTTCTAAAAAATTATTATTAATAAATATTAATATTAGTTTCGATTCTAAAGATCTTTAAAATGTAACTTTGAATGATGCTTTAAAGATTATTGAAGAAAAAATTGAACTGAAATGCTTAGTATAATAATCCAATGATACTTACTGTAACTTTATGAAGTTGATAATAGAGGATAATATTTTGAACAAGATCAGAAATAAAATAATTAAACTCTTTAATAAACATAATAATCTGAAAAAATCATCATTGCTAAAATTCACAAAAAGTGAAAAAGATTATTTTAATCAAATAAAATCATCTTTTATTAACTTCAAAAAAAAGATTGTTAGAACTTTCTCTAACGTCAATTTTACTTTCTATTACTATTCAATTTTTCGAGCCATCCAAATACTTTTACAATGACCAGGAATAACAGATAATTTTAATTAACAGTGCATTCTAAAAAAAGAAAAGATGATAAGTTTTCAATTAAATTAACAAAATTAACAAATCAGTAAACACTAAGTAATTATTAGAAAAATGAAGTTGAAATAAGAGTATTCAGAGAATAATATGAATATAATTAGTAACATAAAACTGCAAATATACTTTTTTTATTAAACTATTATTTTTGATTATTCTATATTCTGATATCATTATCTTTAATAATATTGACAAGAATTCAGATTATTCAATATTTTGACTAAAGATGGTGTGGTAACTGTTGCAATGTAGTGACAAATAAAGCATCACCTAGTTGCAACTAATTACAGCTTATAAAATTTTGGAATTGCAACGTGTTGCAACAGATGACAAATAAGTATCACATACTTGCTGTGCCATCTCTAATTTTGATACTTGGTAATTTTTCAAATTGAATTTGAAATAAACCAGAACTAAAGTTCTTTTGGACTTTTTGCTCAAAGTTCAAAATTCAACAATTAAAACTACTAAAATTTTTTGAAGTCTTCAATATGAAGTGTATTACAAGTACTTGAAAATCATGCTTGAATCTTTACATGAAAAACTTAATACATTGTATTTTGGAGTTCAGAGGTGATCAGTAAATTTTACAGTATATATTTTAGTCTTTTTCACGAATATGCTTGAAGTTAATAATGTGATCACAATATATAAAGCAGCAAGGTGCAAAATATCATGTTATATTTGCATAATTCTGCAAAATAATCTCAATAATATAAATCTTGCATCAAAGAATATGAATCTTAGAATATCAGAAAATATGTGACAAATTATAAACAAAGATCAGGACAAGAATTTTTCCATACACAATGTTGAAAATACCTTCTAGAAATTCTCATGAGTATTTGAATACTAATTCTTCTGTAATTATTTTTAAAGAATAATTTTGAGTTATAATTAAATTAAAATTATTAAATTATTATAAAAACTTAAATATTTATGAAACTTGCATATCTGATCGTATATATAACATCAATCTTGATCTCTTTAAATACCAATTGAACTTCATCCAAGATATTTTGAAGAAAGTTGGAGAAACAGAATTACTAAATAACTTTGATGGCTATCTCCATCAAATTTCTTGCTTTCCTGAATTGAAATTGTTCGATAAATTGAATCAAATAAAAATAATGACAGTTGCAGATTATCGACATATCATGAAAATCACTCTTTTCACGTTAGACAATATCTTTGACACATGAAATGATATAACCTGCAATGAACTCTGCATGCTTTTTGCAAAGTTCAATAGAATGTATATGATGAGTAGATAAGAGTCATTTACTGAAAATAATTTAAAAGAATTTGAGGTAAAATAAAGCAAAATTAATTAAACTTTGAAAAATTAAATAACTAATAATGAACTTTGAAAATGGATACAGGTTCTCATTGCTGACTGATCAACTGAATTTAAGAGAATCTTCTCATCACTATTCACTACAAAATGTAATTTTCCTAAACTACATAGTTAGCACTACCACGTGATTCTGACAATTCACAAATATGAAGTCTTAAATGATTTCTTGACAGAAATATACGAAACACTTTACAAGTTGTATGTGAAAAATTCATACCAGTCATCAAATAGAAAAAATGCAATCCAGCAGATAGTAAATGCAGTAAGTCAAGTTAGTCAATTGTAATCAATTTGTTATAAATTCTAAACTATACTTATAGGTGAAGTGCAAAGAATTGATTCTATGTTTTAATTATAAAAAATTAATTAATTTACTTTGCAATTAGTTAGATTAAATTAAAAAATATGAATTATTATTTGTATTTTTGTATAAAAATAAAAATTATTAATTGATAAAATTGAAAACTTTTATATAAAAAGAAAAACTCATATTTTATTATATTTTATTAATAAATAAATTTTGATGCTGTTGCATTTCTTTTGATTGCCACTATATATACATGTATATATTTCAAATATATTTTGTATTACAATATGATTTATAAAATATTTTTATACTAAGATTGTAAGTATTCATGTTCCATTAAATTTCAAGAATTAGTTCTATTATAACAAAACTATTTATATTCTTGCTCTTTTCTTAATCCTATGATCAAGATAACAATAAGAAACAACCTAATAATATTGGTACTCTATATAAAAAAATAGATATGCGAGTGAATAAAATACACTAATTACTTTTAAAAAGCAAACTAAAATTCTTAAATTAAAAAATGTTTGTGTATGAGCTTTTCTTTTGAATGTCCATTAAATTATAGTTTATCGTTCGTTAACCGATCTTCTAACAGGGTGCATAATTCTTGCGTCACGATTTCGTTAGTTGTCCGAACCGTCAATCGATACATCTAAAGAAAACATATTATTACGAATATTCATCAAAATTAAAGAAACAGTTTTCTGATAAAAAGATTAATTTACCTGTGCCTCGACATTTGGTTCCAATCTCATCAGACAACCAATCATACCACTCTTTGAAGTATGTAAAACACTTGCCCCGACAACATTACTAGGATTTGGATCCACACCTTCCAATATTCCAAACCTAAATCCACTAACCAGCTTCCTGATTCCACCATTTACTACATCAATCGGATAAGTCGACTTAAATACTTTCTGTGCTTCGCGGTGTCCACCACCGATCTGTTTCCAACGAGCGAAAAAGTCTGTTCCGTTTAGTTCGATTGGTTCTATGAACTTTGCGATCACGACAGGCAAGCGCAGTCCAATTGTATAAACGGGGATGCCAGCGATAAATGACACGCGTATATTTGGTGAGCCTGTGAATGTGTTATGACACTCAATATGGAATAATTGTTGGATTTGACCAGATAGTGGTATTGTCGAGGGTGGGCCGGGTGTAGTAATTATTACATTTTCAATATGTTCAATTACTGTGGTAAATGAGGTAATTTTTATTTGGGTTTTATTGGTGAAATAGAGTGCTATTCGACCCATATGACCATGATATTCGGATTTAAGGCGTATTAGGATTTGAGTGTCTTCGTAAATCACGCCTTCTGTCGTATAAACTAATTTACCAAACCATTGTTCAGAACCAGGTGTTATACAACCTGCCGGTAATACCCCTCGTTGAGAAGTAATAGTCATTGTTGTTGGGGATTCCGTGATCTCGCTATTAAGATCAAGATCACCGAATCCTAAGAGATCAACATCACCGTATCCATTACTTCCATTTATGTTGCCATTGCTACTTGTGCTTCCCCCATTACTGCTGGTGCTACCATTGTGAGTAGTCAGATGACCATTAGTTTTTTTGCTATCCGAAGAACCATTACGAGTTATTAAAGATGACATTCGTAAAGATTCTCGTTCTTTATTTACATCCTTCCCTCCGATTATCCATGTTCGTTTATCCTCAGTATCTGAATGCTGTTGATGCAGCCGCGAAAGAAGTGCAGACTCCCGTTCAGGGAATGGCGGCATCTCTTCACAGACTGTTTGTAAAAGATCATCGGTTGGCATCGTGGCAATTGCTAAATATTCGGCTGCGCGTTGTTGTAGCTCCGCATCAAGGACATGACGATATTGATTAAACACTGATAAAATGTCACCTTTTATCTCGGGGAAAAGATTGACAAATTTAATGTATGTGGTTAATAATAAAGCTCTTGTTTGTAGTGTACACGAGCCAAATTTTGAATGAATGGCGTGAAACTGTTCAAGGGCACTAGCACCAGATATATTCGCAATTAAATGTCCAAATTCTCCAAGTATATACCCGCCTACTTTAACAAGACTCTCGTGGCATGACACCGAACGTAAATGAATCAAGACCGTTCTTGCCGCGTATTCCTGTAACTCTTCATTGTTGGTCACAATTTGCACAACACGATACCATACTTCTTCACCAACATGATCCCCAGCTGTACTAATAAGCTGTAATATAATGTCCACATACCATTGATACTCTGTGGCAAATCGTTCGGTTAAGATGGCTATTTTCAGCACCATTTCCTCACGTAAACCGTAATCTGCTATATTCAAGTAACGAAGCAATTCGGCCACTATCGCTTTAGCATTTGTCACGTCACACATACTGTAAAGAAGGTCTAAACCTCGACGACGCACACTAATGTCCTTATCCCGGAGTGATAACAAAATAGTATCTTGATGCTTTTTTATCGGTTCCAAAGAATCGACACACGCTGCCAAATGTGCCATTGTTTCCAAGCCAAGATATCGTACATTAGTCTCTTTGGAAGTTATGAAACGTCCAAGTAGTACAGCGGCTTGATTAACAATCTGTGATTCAGTGTCCAAATGAATGGCAAGATTGATGGCTTCAAATAAAACAGCATTTTGTGCATTATTATGTTGCACGTTTTTCGGTGTTTCTTGTGATAAATCCAAAATAGCTTGGAGGACATCATGCAATTTGGCACGCACTCTTTCATCATCTATTCATAAAAATCATAATCCATTTATATTAGTTAAGAGTGTTATGAAGAAACTTCATATCGCGGATTCATGCTAAGATCTGACACCTACCTGATGGCGGATAATATTGTAAAAGTCTTAGTAGCTTTATTTGCAACCAAGGAATTGGAACTTTATAATAAACATAATCAAGAGAATATTCTTTTTCTACCACGAGCTAACGAGTTACGAGTATGAGATATTATATAATGTTAATTTTCATCAAACGAAACAATTTAACAATACCTTTTTAAGTCGGTCGACTGCTTTCTCATAACAGCCTAAATAAGCTTCTAAATTGTCTTGAGCCAAAGCCATTATCAAGCTAGTGACACATAAAGCAACCCCCTATGTTAAAAATCATAACTAATATTAATATAAGATAAAGTTTTAAAAAGTTAAAAGAAACGAGTTATTGGGAAGAAAAAAAAATCACTTACCAAATCTAAATCGTCAATTAGCTGTATAACCCTTTCAGCCCAATCTGCAGCAGGAATAACATCAGGATGTTTTCTGTACATCCGTAACAACGTTAACGCCGCCTTCTTCTTAACAAATCCTTTTGAAGCTCTTAAAATATGTTCGGTGATAATATCATAAATACATATAGAGAGGTACAGCACAATCACATATCGTATTAAATATAAAGCTCACGGTGAGATTAATAGCCTGTGAACATCGGTCGCTAATGATTCGGCCATTTCTCGGCCACCAATATTCGCAATTGCATGTAGGGCTAGACAGTTAAATATTTCATTATTTTCTTCAAGATCTTTTTTTATGGAATTTACTACTAATCGCACCAAGTCACTATTCTCGTGCATCAAAAGAGTTACTGCCAAGTAACCCTATAAAAACAAATAATTGTTAAGACTATTATCTAGACAAAATACTTGAATTCATGAATCGAACACGAAAATACACTCACAATTTGCTTTTCGCTATACTTGTGACTAGAAATCAAGTGAACAGCCTCCATATGACCAAAATCAATATCCCATCCAAGAATGTACATGTATAATAGTTTACATACGTATTTCTTCTTTTGGTATCCATTTAAATTGCCATCTTTTATTAGATATTATTTTCATCAAAATGGTTATATACGTTTTAATATAAATATTACGTATTTTCTTCAGATGATGCACACGAGCTAGAAGACATACCTTTGAACTTTGCTCGAATATTTGCCATCTCTTTATTTATTCGTTTTTCTTCGAGCTCTCTAACTCGACCTATAATTCGCGTATCAAGATTAAGGAAGCGTGATAATTTGAACGTCTCATAATTCTTGCAGAACTAAAAAAGCAGCAGCTGTTAAGTTTCAAAAAGATACAGTTTCGTATATCCGCGATGAACACGGTCAACCCACGCATAGGAGTCGACATGGCTGCTTAATGTCTATGTTAATGAAACCACAGTTAAGAATAAGATGTTAAGCTTCGTGTTACAAAACGTGTTTTTGTTTTTAAACCCAAGTATATCTGGTTTTCTATAAAAATTACCAAAATCAAAGAGATCTGATGAGAAACGCGAGTAAGAAGAAAAATTAGAGCCGTCAAACGGTAAATCTCTATGCAAACAGGTTAAACACAGATTTTAAACTATCAAAATAACACAAGTGAAAAATGGATCTTAAAAAATCGGTTCGGGAGACGTTAATCACGAAAAGTGTTTCGCGGTGAAGCATGTAAAACCCTTAGAAAGCACTTGACATTTTTAGATTAATCACATTCATTGAATTGAATGATTGTGGTCAAATTTGGATTTGATTTACATTTACAGAATAGACTCTCGTTGATTCCTTCTATTTATATGTTCTCGTCGATAAAACCGCTCTCCTCTTCGAACCAATCGTTATTTTTTCACAAGTTCTGGGTTTCCGGATTAGACTTCTTGCCAGTCAAAAAAAATCTTTAACAACAACCAAATTAATGTTAAATAGTCAAAACGAATCAAGACGACAAGAAATTGAATCTAATCTCGAAAAGGTAAGGCAACGCATGAACGTTGCCTTGGAAGGGCGAAGCCAGGTTAAACAATTATCATACTTTGTGCTTGTTCATTTTTTATTATTTGGTTGAACCTTATTCATATTTGTAGGCCAGACTTGTAGCCGTTAGCAAACTGAAACCAACCTCTGATATTCTTTATGCGTATGAAGCTGGTCAACGTCATTTTGGTGAAAATTATGTATGATCCATTATTTTTTTGTGCGTATCTAGTTTTTAGATGTATATTTCATGGATTTGGATTGGTTTGATAGGTCCAAGAATTAGTTGAAAAAAGCAAAGAGGTATTTTTTCATATTATTATTGGTGTTCTTCTGATCAGGTTGAGTTGATGCTCGTTTATTTCTTTAATAAAAAACATATTTTCATTTATCGTCAAAAAAGCTTCCTCTTGATATTAAATGGCATTTCATAGGATCTTTACAGACTAATAAGTGCAAAATGTTAGCTGGTATATTTCTTTATATATATATTTTTTTTTACATATTAAGAATTATACTTGGAATATTGATCGAGTATCATTGAACAGCAATACCAAATTTGTGGGTAGTCGAAACCATCAGTAGTGTAAAAAGTGCAGAAGCCATGAATAATGCGTGCGCATCTCGTGAATCGCCATTAAAAGTATTTGTTCAAGTGAACACAAGTGGGGAAGAGAGTGTGTAGATTTTGAATTTTTGAGATTTTGCAACTTCATCTTTGTATTTATTTTTTATTATTTATTTTTACTAGGTAAAAGTGGAGTCTCTCCTGATGAATGTATACCACTTGTCAAGTACATCCGTGAAAATTGCGAAAATTTAGACTTTTCCGGTATAATGACAATTGGCGCGCTAGGACATGACACTGCTACCGATGGGCTGAATCCGGATTTTATCGTATGTTTATTTGACTGAATTCATTTTATATCTAGATCGCTTATTCAATCACCTCTGTTGCGGGAAAATTATACCATAGAAACTGAAAAATATCCACCAACAAAACATAGAGGAATTCTCAGTTAACGCTGATCCTACTAACGCGCCTTTGGAAATGAGTATGGGTATGTCGGAGGATTTCGAGGAAGCACTAAGACTCGGATCTACTAACGTTCGAGTTGGAAGTGCTATTTTTGGTGAACGATTAAAAAATTGATTTTCAGGTGTTTATATAGAACGCATAATTTATGTAGCTAAGAGTACAAATAGATGATGCTAAACTTGATATACTTTTTGTTTTTGATTCAGAGATTGATTAAAATTTTGATAAATGCAAATGATAATACATTTCATGGTGCCATGATGACAATACGTGCACTGACACTATTAAACTGCCTAATAGAATTAATAGAGCTATTGTTTTATCATGCGCACAATTGAACCAAAAAGGCGCAGAATCCTTTTACAAAGCAATTCATCACTCATACTCGGATCAACAACATTTGAACTCCACCATAGCCAAAGTATCCAATATTATCAACAGAGTTACGCAATCCTTGGTAATGGATGTAGTTGATGTCATCATATTTAGCTCGAGTAGGACGACAGAACGCACACTTTTTCTGGTCTTCATAATTACCAACCAAACGCAAAAATCCAACCAACCAAAAATCCAACTAAATAATTAACTAAATATTCTCCTGTGTGCCCTCAAGAGTTGGTCCAAACAAACTAATTCTTCAAACAAAAAAACTACAAGGATACTACAACTACCATTATCACTACACACTACCAAAACTTTACGATTTAGACACGTACGAACTAGAATTTGTATTTTAACTCTAACCTCCTCTTTCCAGTCTGCTTGATCAAGCAGCATAATGAAAATAAAAAAGACTCCTCCAAAGAAGTTGTCTGTACCTGTAAGTACTGGAATTGCTTTACCTGTTTCTCAAGTTCTAGCCTTGAAATAGCGAGGCAATCGAATGCGGGAAAAAATTTTTATAAACTAATTCTGTATATAGACAGATACAACTGGCATTTTTTCAAAAATTTTTCGCAGCACATTTCTTCGGTAATTGCTTATTCAACATTTCTTAATCATTCTCTCCCTTCTGTTATGTTTTGTTTACAGATACCGCCAATCAAAAATATCATACAACTTCTGACTGAATGTCAAGACGAAGAAATACCCAATGTAGTAGCCTCTGTCAAAGAATGGAGTTACCCGCGAGGGGACTTGTTTCACTGGATTGGTGTTTTGAATCGATTCGATACGATTCTTGAAAATATTTGCCAGAAATACAAGTTGAAAAAACTCCAATCGTCACCGTTTACTACAGTAGAACAGAGTATTATATTAGCAATATTGAAATTTTCACGATTACTGTTGGAGAATTGTACCAATAGAAATCTATATAGCTCGTATGAGGTATTATTAATCAATTGATTTTTTTCTTACTCTTTACTTTTTAAAAATTCTTTGAATACTAACTAATTGCTGAAATTCACACTATCTTATTAACTAGCATCTGAATGATTTACTAAATACGGCTGATATTGATGTATTGGAGACGGTTCTTCGATTAGTGCTTCGTCCTGCGCAAAGACTCAGTAATCAAAGAGCACTCCGAACAAACTTCTCTATTTCCCATGATCGCATTCTTACCTTGGCTCACACTTGGGGCACCAAAGAATATGATCTCGGAATGAAGGATCTCGCCTATGACAATGTCACTATCCCGGAAGAACTAAAGACCTTGACATATCAATTCTACCGTCATCTCACACCTACTGAAGCTGCCACCGGGACATCATCAAGTGATACGAAGAAAACTGACACAGCCACAGCTCCAGCAACAGCAACGGCTGCTTCAACTACCACCACAACTACCTCTACTTCCAATACTACAACCACCACATCATCAAAACACAAGCGAAAAGAGAGTGGCAACACCACTACTTCCACCTCCACCTCAGCCACCACCACAAAAAGTGTCGGTAACGAAGGAATCACGGTTATCTCTGTTAGCAATGCTCATGAATTGGGCGAAAGTGATACAGACATTCTGAAAAATGTTGTCGAAGAATATGAAGTACCTGAAGAATTCCATTTTGCTCTTTTAAATCGAATCAGAATTGCGACAAAAATAAATGATAGTGCAAAAAGAAAACAATTATTGATAATTAGGATACTTGCTATTGCTATAATGGGTTTGTATTCTATTCCTTATATATTTCTTATTATTCCGTTATTAATTTCTAAAATTCTTATAATTCGATTAACATAGCTCATGTGATCCCGGAACATGTCGCACAATCTAAACTATTTCTATATGAGCCTGATATTGTTGCAAATTTAGCGGAGTTGGTGCATCCTGAACAAAAGAATGCTCCTGAAAGAAAGGTCCCTTATGTACGTGATTATAAAATACACCAATTTGGGTTTTTCGAGTTTTTAATACGAATGAAAATGAATCTGACTATTTTTTTTGATTCGTTTCTCTAGGAAATTCAAACTGTTGCTTTTTATGCGCTTGATGGCATTAGTCGTTATCGCTCCAAATTGGGTGAGGCTTTAACCGCGATAAATGCATCAGCCAATCACGGAGTACTTTTATATTTACTGCGACGAATTATTGCTGATCTTGAGAGCGAAAGTCGTAAGTCATACTTCTTCGACTTCATTGCATAAGATTCAAAACAAGATATTTTAGGATACCAATAATAAATTCATTGATTGTAGCAAAATATCCACAAGAATATTTGGATGCTTTATTCGCGTTGATCTCTTGCATAATCTCGACGCAAACAGGTGGAACGATGGTTATTTCCGCTGGAATAGTGCCAACGCTCCTTCAATTGTTACATAACAAGAAAAATGGACAAGAAAAGGTAACAAAGTTTGAATTTGGTAGTCTACTATCACATACTATCGATTTTGGAAATATTAACAAATCATACTTTATTTGATAATTAAAGAACGTAACCAAAGCTGTCGTTATATTGGATAGTCTTGTCTATGGATTCACCACGTCATTCAATACATTTTGCAATGCCAATGGTGTTAACATCCTCGTTGACCGAATCAAGGTATTCTAACTTTCGACTTTTGCTTCTGTTACGTTTTAAAAGAAAATCAAAACTAAATTTATAATTTTAGGGTGAAGTTAATTTTGACATCGAATTAGCTAATGAGATTCAAGGTAATTCCATGGAGGAGATCAGAGCAAGTCGCGCAATATCGTCTACATTTGGCACAAAGGGTATTATATTTTTTTCCTCTTACTCAATATCTTGTCTGTATTTATTCTAAACAATGCATAATTTATATATCGTTTAGACGACGAATTTATTCTACCTTATGAAAGATCATCTTTGTTAAAATCGATGTTCAAGTTTGTTCTGCATATGATGCAAACTTCTGGCACGGCAGACGGATTACGTAATTTAATTGAGACGTCATTGCCAGAGTCATTGAACAAAGTTTTAGATCATCCCATTTTTGGAAGCAGTATTTATTCTCTCGGTATGCATTAATTATAACCATAAATTGTTATTCTGACTTATAATATACTAATAATTTTATACTCAAAGCCATTCATTTGATGGCGACTTTTATTCATAATGAGCCCACATCACTACCTATAATGCAAGAGGCTCGACTTCCACAAACTTTCTTGAGTTCAATAAGCACAGAGATTCCGACTTCAGTTGATGTGCGTATAAGATAATTAAATATAATAAAATTCAATATTATATAAAAAGACAATAATCATCTTTTAATAAACAAACAAATACACAGGTCCTCCAACAAATTCCTAATGCATTTGGTGCAATATGCTTAAACGCACAAGGCCTAGAAATGTTCAACGAAGCCAACCCAATCAACAAATTCTTTACAATATTCACATCACAAGAACACGTTAGATCCATACAAGAAGGCGACATCGCTTCTCACCTGGGAACATCGATTGACGAGTTAATGCGTCATCATCCTAGCCTGAAACCGGTCGCTATGAATGCCATAATAGATATGTTAACACGTATCGTTGAAATTAGTCAAGGCGGTGTTGTGCCAATTAACGATGATAATAGTAAACTGCATCATGTGTCAGTTGCTGGCACAGCGGCGAGTGATGAGTCGGCGGTGGCCGGAACTTCGCGCGTTACTGATGTCACGATGGTAGATTCAACAACAGAAGCAACTAGTAAACCTGAAGACAAGAAAGACAATTATGTGGTTTCTCTTATTGAGGTTTCAGCCAAGGTAACAAGAGACAATATATACAGTTGATACAAAAAAGCTTGATTACTACATCTAATATAAAAAATCCTTTTACTATTAGTTCTTGGATGGCCTCTTTCAAAATTCAAGCCATTGCAAAGATTTTTTAAAACAAAACGGGCTAAGCATCATCATCAAATTCTACTCTCTACCGACGCTTCCATACGATTTCGGAAACACTCCAGCTTCATATGCTTTATCGAATTCGATGCGGCTAATCGCTGATGTTGATTCAAAAAGCTTTGTCAAGTGTGTCATAACTGAACTTAATTCTGCACTTCAGAATGCAAAAATTTTTTTGGACAATGAAAAAGATGCTGTCATCTTCGATTATATTGATCTGAATGGTAATCTCCTAATTTCCAGATTTGCTTTGCTGTTTGCATGTTCTTTCAGCTTTGTCTTCGATGTAAGTATTAATTATTTGCTTATAATTCTAGATAAAGATCCGGAGACAATAGAAGCAGCAAATAAGACATTCAGATCTCTGGTGACGCTGTACGGTCTAGTAGGCTTGTTATCAGATATTTATTACACACCAGGATTTTCACATAGCAAAAGCTCGCCTTCTGTGATCGAAGCCTTTGTGGGAGACAACGAAGTCTTGCCCGCGCTTGGAAAGCTTCATCGGTAAGTATTTTATTAATCATATCACTTTTGTTTTGTTTCAAAATATAATGCATTGTTCTCATTTTGATATTATGTATACAGAGTATGTATCTGGGAGAACGTGATCCTAAAATCCAAAGTTCCAAAGTCATGGTATAGTACTCCAAATAAACTACGAAAATCATTCGCAGTTGCCGAGTCTTCGATTTTCGGAGTGCCACCCTTAGATGACACGGATAAAGATACCGCTACTGGTGCCAGTACTGCTGCTGGTGGTGCTACAGACGTAAATGAGCCACCAGTTGACCTAAATAATAACAAAGTCAAAAATACGAAAGCTTTTAAATTCTTGGTTTCCCAGATTCCGACGTGTCTTACACCTCTATTTCAAGGTAAATTTTTTACATCCGTTCTTAATAACGATGAAAAAACTTGTTTTAGCGATAATATTATTAATCAAATTTTATTTGATAAATTTTAATTTTAGGGTTGACAAAAATGCTGTTTAGTCGTAAATCTCCTGATGCCTACCAGAAAAAACAAGCGTTCAAAGTTTCTGATACTATTGCCGAAGTGCTTCGTGATCATTTAGTTGGGAAAAGTCAAGGTAATTTTTTAGTAACTAATATTCTTTGAAGAATCAAAAATAGTTATGAATGTCGAACTAATTTTTTCTTAATTTCTTAACGTTTGACTAATAGCGGCTAATGATACCAACAAGTATAATTATCTTTCTAGCATGCTTAGCTTATTATCACTTCTTTTCCTGGATGGTAAAATATTAAAAAATAAATTTATGATTTAATGTCAACAAGTAAAAAAAGTCACTAACTCTATCATTATTGCGATCATTATAAAGAACGCAATCAAGTGGCACTTCAAACTATGCTGGTCGTTTCGTTCGAAAGAGTAGGTGGAATCGATATAATCTTCCAATTACTTCGTAAATTCTGGGAAGAAGCCGAAGCAATCCAATTCATGGAGGATTACACACTCAATCCCGAAGACGGGTCAAAAGAAAAACAAACACGAATCCACGACTGTCTAGAAACCACGCTAAAGCTCTTCAAATCCGTAACTTCAGCAAAACTATTACGTGATTCTCCACACACTTCAGCGTTGACATCGAAAGATCGTGATCGTGGGACAGCTGATTTCTTTGATCCTACCGAGTTTCTTATTAATATCAGATCCAAAGTTTTCCCTGTGATTATCGATCTTTGGCAAAGCTCTTATTTGGAGAAAGCTCCGGCGAATATAGTTAAATCTGTAATTGTAAATACGGTTCAAATTTTGAAGGGAGACGGGGAGGTTAATCAGCGAGCAGAAGGATCATCCACAAGTAGCAGTAATCCGGTTCCAAATCCCTATGTATTCGGCAGGAATTTAGTCCCAGACGAAGCAAGAATTCAACAATTAATTGATATGGGTTTCCCGCGTTCAGCTGCTGAAACTGCATTATTACGTTGTAATAATCATGCCGATACAGCTGCCGAATATTTGGTCACACATCCAGAAATGGTAGCCGCGGCTGTCTTCGCTGCAGCAGCAGAAACATCCGAGGCCAATGAAAGGAACAATAATAACAATGACAATGAAGCTGGATCAGCATCAAATGCCGAAGAAAATACACAAGGAGAAACACGCAATGAGACTCAATCGGAGACAATTTCTGCGGAACAAACAATCACCTCGGTTGCTAGTGCTGAAGATGAAGATGATGAAGGCTCGTCTAACGATGACCAAACTGCTCTTGAACAAGCATTAGCTATGTCAATGCAAGCAGGTGCCGAAGATATTGATCAAAATGCTTCAATTCCGATGGATATGGATCCTGTCGCCAAAAAAACGGAAAAAGGCAAAGGAAAAGAAATTTCAATAATAGAGCAATTCAAATCATTGCGCGAAAGTATTAAAGAGACTGCAGCTCAGCGTGCACTTGATCTTTTGACAAAAGTCGAAGACATCATTTTCGAAGTTAGAGAATTGTTTGTGTTGATTGGTAAAGAAAAATTCGAGAGCACCATTGAACTAGTGTTCAAGAGTATTGAAGATGCTTCTATTGATTTACAGCTTGCCGATACGCAACGCACCAAAATCTTGGGCTCACGATTACGACTTTTGGCACTTTTGCTTAATGAATCTAACATTCAAGCTAAAATATCGACAATCCCACTCTATATCTTACCAATTGTTCTCGATCTAATTCTACATGAAACTACATTGTCGGTCGAAACTCCTTTGTCAAATTGGCTTGCACCCGCTTTGTTAGTCGTGGAAGCATTCATCTCTTTAGCGGATGAACCAACATTTGTATCACTTGATCATAAACCAGAAGACTCCAAAGACAATATTGATGAGATTGATATGAGTAGCGTTACAGTGACAAATGAGCAAAGATCAACTCTTTTAGGTTACACCTTGACCTTATTTGAAAAACGAGACTTTGACAAAGACGTTCGCCATGCATTGCTTCGTATCTTGGTTCGACTTACTCGTCGACATTCTGATGCAATTGAATTTGTCAAAAGAAATGGTCTCCCAATACTTTTTAATCTGTTCAAATCCAAAGCTCATGATTTCCATCGCCAACAAGTGTTTATTGTCATGATTTTACGACATATTGTGGAGGATGCCCAAATTCTCGAATCTATTATGGATCGTGAAATAAAGAATTGGTTCTCACATCCTCGTCCTCGCATTGTCGATATTAATACTTACCTTCGCAGCAATACTCAGTTCGCTTTACGTGATCCACAAGTATTTGTGCAATCCACCAAGAATGTGTGCAAATTAGCGAAATATGATTCTTCTGGAAGAAATTCACAAATTACTTTAATTCGACCAGAAGCAGATGAGTCAAATAATAATAATAATAATAATGTTGCATCATCATCATCCACAGAAAAAAGAGACATTACAGTTAATGAAGAGGAAATGACAGATGTTATTCCGTCAACCTCTGCATCTTCAGAAAAAGGCAAGAAATCTGCATTACCAAACACTGAAGGATCTGAGAATCTAGTGCATTTTTTGGCAAATGAGTTAATATCAATACGCGATCACACGCTGAAACAAACAGGTCAAGAGAAACAAACTACAAATGATGCTAGCAGCGGCTCCTCATCAATTCTTCTTGGTCTTGCTACTGCATCTCTGAGTAGTAATAGTAATAATAACAATAATAATAATAATAATAACAATAATAATAACAACAACAACAACAATAATAATAATCCATTAACAACAATCACAGACTTTAAACCAGAAGAAAATCGAGAATATCTCTCTCGTTGTTTCATTCTTCAATGTTTAACAGAATTGCTTTCTTCATACCCATCATGCAAAATTGAAGTGGTTAATCTTTCTCGTCGACGAACAAGCATTGGTCCACATACACCCACAAAACATCATCGCACTGCTCTTGTTAATTACTTGCTAAATGATTTATTGCCATATGGATGTATCACACAAACTACTGATATCGAAATGCGAAAACGTCTTGGGCAATCAAAATGGACAGTAGCGTTCTTTGTGGCTCTTTGCTCGTATAATAATGAACCTGAGGACAAAAAACCTAACCCAGAAATTGCACAGGTTAGAAAATTTGTTTTGGAATGTATTAATCGAGCATTTAACAATGCCATTCTTTCCAATGAGCCACTTGAAGCAAAATATGGCAGACTTCTTGGTCTGGCTGAATTGTGTTATGAACTATTGACTACTCGATCTACACCCAATAATGTTAATAAACCAATCGAAGATGGTCCTAATAGCATTGCAAAATTAATGCTTGACAAGAAGTTTGTTGATACACTAACAAATGCCCTGGCTGAAGTCGATCTCAATTATCCATCGTCGAAAAATTTAATAAATGCTTTGTTGAAACCTTTTGAATTCCTAACAAAAGTTGCAATCAAAATTGGTCGAACACCTGAATCTTCAAGTAAAGATGCTCAAGGACAGCCTCCTCGACGTGATAGTATTTCTTCTGTATCCTCCATATCCAGTGGGGAAATTCACGTCGAGGATACACCAGACTTATATGTAAATTCAGTTCTTGGTGCTCTTGAAGGTCGACTAAATCCTGAACCTGAAGTAGATGACACATCCGAAGATGAAGAACAATACGAAAATGATGAATACGAAGAATCCGGCAGTGATCTTAGTGATGTAAGCCATGAAGAATCCGAAGAGAGCGATAACGATGAAGAAGGTGACGATATGGAAGTTGAAATCGTTCGTCCACCAGTTCAACGTCATTCTGAAATGTCTGATGATGATGACGAAGATCCTGAGTTTGAAGTCACTCGAGAACCAGATCGTCACCTCGCTGAAGGACAGCATCACGATGAGTCTGAAAGTGATGATGAAGACGACGACGAACATGGTCAAAATCAATCACTGCCTTGGGCCACTGTTACTGAATCTGTAATGATAGATCATGGAGATATTGAAGTCATTGAAAACGAGGAAGGCCGCCGTCATCGTCATACACGACTTGATCCATTTGGTCAAGAAGATGATGGCGCAATGCTCGTCGATGATGATGACGATGAGGACGATGAAGTAGACGATGACGAGGATGAGGATGATGAGGATGAAACGGGAGAAAATAATGATGTGTTGACTGGAGGTGATGCAATCGATGATGGGTACGAAGATCGTCTCAATTTCAATTGGAATTGGAATAATCATAATACACTATTTGTAAATGAAGATGAATTAGGAGCACCGTCAATACGCCCTCGTGCATTATTTAGCTTTGGCAATAGGCGTCATCGAGGAATTTCTGCTCGTCGTGCAATTCTAGAAGTTCAACCAGATAGTCTTGATTATCTATGGGGAGATACAAGTGACCAAGGTCGTCATGATTTCCTCGGAACTGAACCCGAGCTTCCAGGTTTAGGTAGAAATCGTCCAATAACCACAAGCGTCGATGATGTATCATCACATCCACTTCTTATCAATCGTTCTCCACCACTTCCTACAGTCTCGGGATCAGAGCAGTTACGAGGCCGTAGCTCAAGAAATGGTCCTTTAGGTGACTGGACACAATCAATCGAAGAATTGATAGGTGGAGGCGCAGTACAATTATTAGAACAACTTCTGAATAGAGGACGAGGTTTAGGCGGCCCATCAACATATCGTCTTGAATTAAATCCAGGATCAACAGGGCTAGTTAGTGGAATTGAAGTTGATCGTATGTTCGCGAGACCAATAGTAACTTCGCAAGATAGTGCAGTCACCACTCTTTCGGGAGATCCAATGGCAGCAGTTCAAGAATTTAACCCTGCACCTACTAGTCAACGTTGGTATGATGAAGCACGAATAATGTATGGAACCGGAGTAGCAGATAAAGCCACAAAACTTGTAAATTACATATTAAATGCATTAGTACCACAAGCCTTAATAGAAGAGAAGAAACGAAAAGAAAAAGAGGAAAGAGAAGAGGAAGAACGTAGACTCAGAGAAGAAGAAGAACGTAATAATAAAAAAGAAGAGGAAAAAGAGGAAGAATATGATGAGGAGACAGAAAGAGTAAGGTTGGCGTCCGAACATGCCTCAACAAGCGCTTCTATAACTGAAGACAATCAAGCAGCAATACCCGAACAGAGCACAAGTGGTATAATAGAGACTGATGTTGTGATCGAAGATGCTCCCCCGATTGAGCAAGAATCGCCAGAAATTGAATTTACCGCTGCTATGGAAGAACAGCCGTTATTTATAATAGAAACAACTAGACCTCCTGTTATTCCAGCTTCCAGTTCTGCAATGGAAGAAGAAATTACGATTTCTCCAATGGAAACAGCAGAAAATATGATAGCAGAAAATATAATAGCAGTGGGCACCACAACATCATCAGAAGTGACTTCTAATTTGGACATTGCAATGGGTTCAGAGTCTGGCGTATCTACAGAAGAAGCTGCTGATAATGCTACTGCTGCTACTAATGCTGCTACTACGACTACTACTAGCACGTCTGATGTTGCTATGACAACTGAATCTACATCAGCCACAAGCGAAACCGGTGAAAATCTGAGTGAAACTGCGAATGCTCCGCCAGCACAGCCACAAGAAAGAACTACTGTTATGGTGAATGGCGAGCCTGTGGACATCACAGACACCGGCATAGATCCGACTTTCCTCGAAGCACTGCCTGAAGATTTACGACAAGAAGTACTTAATGAACATTTGCCGCGTCATCGTGCAAGACCTGCTGCACCCGCTAGTCAAATTAGCCCAGAATTCCTATCAGCTTTACCGGAGGAACTCCGCGATGAAGTTCTTCAACAGCAACAAGATCTTGAACGAGAACGACAGCAACGTGAACAACCAACAGCTGGAATTCCAGCAGAAATGGATAACGCTACTTTCTTTGCAACTTTAGATCCAATACTACGTCAACAAGTACTAATGGAGCAAGATGAAATGATTTTACAATCTTTGCCGCCTGCAATGGTTGCCGAAGCTCATTCTCTTCGTGAAAGAACAAACCGACGATACACAAGTGTACGATCAAGAACAACACTAGCAAATGCTGCACCATTACATGCACCCAAAAAACCGACAGTACAACGTGACGCCATGAAACTTGTTGACACCGACGGTTTAGCTACCTTGGTTCGCCTTCTTTTCTTACCTCAAGCGCTTGGCAAAAATCTTTTACACAAACTGCTTTTGAATCTATGCGAAAACAGCAAAACTCGTGGTGAATTAGTATCGATGTTGTTATCGATTCTTCAAGATGGAAGCGCAGATGTCGCGGCTGTAGATAAAAGTTTTGCACAAATGTCCTTAAAAAATAAAGGTACACCAAAAAGTACACTAAAAGGAAAAGGTAACAGTGCTAATATACTTACGCAGATCGCTCAAACAGCTGGTGAAAATGTGCCAAATTTAATTGCGCAGCGGTGTCTAGAGGCTTTGACATATATAGTGACCTATAATGAAGCATCTGTAAATTATTTCCTGACGGAACATGAACAAATCGTTGGATTAAAGAGGAGTAACAGCAAAAAAGGAAAAGAGAAGCAATCAAAAGTTATCACTAGCAAATATCCGGTTGTTGTATTACTCAGTCTATTAGATAAACAAGTATTCGTAAAAAACACCACTTTAATGGACCAATTAATGCATCTCTTGTCGTTTGTGTTGCGTCCTTTATCAACAATGGCAAAATCTGAATCAGCAAAATCTTCACAATCCAGTAATGAACATACGGGAGGATCTTCAACTGCTGAAGCTGGTAATTCGGCTGATGCAGTCTTGAATGATCCACCACCTGCTACGGAACAAAACAACACGCAATCCTCTAATGAACCAAATACTGCAAGTAATAATTCTCTTAATGAGCCCACGGATCTTCCTAATGAGCAAATTACTTCAAATAACGATTCGAATAATCTCAATAGTAATACAAATCAGAATAATAATGAGTCAGCGAATAATGAACAAGTCTCAAATTCAAATACCGAAAATAATAATTCAATAACAGCGGGACCATCAAATCCAAAACCCTCCCAGCCAGAAGCACCAACATTAAAACCACCGGTAATTCCCGATCATTGCCTACGATTAGTAGTTAATGTCTTGACTGCTGGTGAATGTACAAGCAACACATTTAAATACACCTCGAATGTGATACATTATCTCTCAACATTAAGTGGTGCTCGTGATGTCATTACATCAGAATTAGTAGAGAAAGCTCAATCCCTGGGTAACGATATCCTTGAAGATCTTGATGAATTGGCTCAAGTATTAGAACAAGCAACTTCGGGAGTTGATGTCCAGGGCGTAACACTATCAAACTTCTCGCCTTCATCTTCCAAACAAGCTAAGCTGCTTCGAGTTCTTAAAACTATCGATTATATGTATTCAAAACGACAGCCACAGCAGCCAGCAACTACTCCTAGTGCACAAGTTGAAGTTGCTTTGGCACCGACTGTTGATCCTGAACAAGCGGACACAATACTACCAAGGACTAAAATCGATACCACTAAATCAGGCACTAAATTAACACAGGACGAAGAAAAAGTAATGAACATTTATGATGGTCTGCAGTTTACAGACCTGTGGAAGAAATTGGGTCGATGCTTAACTACAATACATGAAAAGTCTGATATGATTCATGTGGCGACTGTACTTCTACCTTTAATTGAATCACTGATGGTTGTATGCAAATATGTTGGAATGAGACCTTTCACACCACAAACCGGCGAAACACTAACAACTACGATAACAACACCAACAACAGCGAAAACTAATGAAACCATGGATGAGTTGTTCTTTACATTTACTGAAGATCACAGAAAGATTCTCAATACCATGGTCAGAAATAATCCTTCACTAATGAGTGGATCCTTCTCATTGCTTGTGCATAATCCAAAGATTCTTGAATTTGATAATAAGCGGAATTATTTCACACAACAACTGCACAAACGACCAAGTGGTCGTGAACATTATGGCACCTTACAATTGAATGTTCGTCGACAATTTGTATTCGAGGACTCGTTCCAATACTTGCAACGAAGATCAGGTGATGAAATCAAATATGGAAAATTGAGTGTTCGTTTCTATGAAGAGGAAGGTGTGGATGCTGGTGGTGTCACACGAGAATGGTTCCAGGTGCTCGCCCGACAAATGTTCAACGAGGATTATGCCTTGTTCAAGACTTCAAATGCCGACAGACTTACTTATCAACCAAACAGAGCTTCTTTCATTAATCCTGAACATTTATTATTTTTCAAATTTGTTGGTCGTGTAATTGGTAAAGCTATTTATGATGGACGATTATTAGATGCTTATTTCACTCGTTCATTCTATAAACATATTCTTAGCAAACCTGTTGACTATCGGGATGTCGAAGCCATCGATCTAGAATATTATAATAGTTTGGTATGGATATTGGAAAATGACATCTCGGCAATGGATGATTTGACATTTAGTGTTGAAGATAATGACTTCGGTGTAACGAAACAAGTTGAATTGAAACCGGGCGGTGCAAATATACGCGTCACTGAAGAGAATAAGCGCGAATATGTGAAACTTGTAACAGAGCAGAAATTGACATTAGCAATCAAAGATCAAATAGCAAACTTCCTTGCTGGGTTCCACGAAATCATTCCATCACACTTAATCAGTATATTCAACGAGCAAGAACTAGAGTTGCTCATCTCTGGAATGCCTGATATAGACATGGACGACTGGAAAAATAACACCGAATATCAGAATTACACTGCGTCGTCACCACAAATTCAGTGGTTTTGGCGAGCAGTTCGAAGCTTTGATCAAGAAGAGCGAGCCAAATTATTACAGTTTGTCACTGGCACTTCTAAAGTACCGCTTGAAGGTTTTTCGGCACTGCAGGGTGTACATGGTGTCCAGAAATTCCAAATACACAAAGATTTCTCAAGTTCAGATCGTCTTCCATCAGCTCACACATGGTATGTTTAACTAAAAATTGGTTATTATCCATTGCATGTTTTTTGACACGATTCTAAATTTCTTTATTTTTTATTTATGTCATTAAAGCTTCAATCAATTGGATATTCCTGAATACGAAAATTATGAACAATTAAGGTCACAAATGTTGCTTGCTATCTCTGAAGGCACAACAGGTTTCGGATTCCAATAATAATAATCATAATAGTTTATTACTTCAATTGATTGATGGACAATTTATATAATTCACTCACACTACGTTTTTTCTTATGCATAATAATGGTCGGTAGTGGTAATTACACATATAATAGTATAATAGTATTAGTTTTTTTCTTTAAACTGATTTGTAGACATCCTTTTTTTTATATTATTTTCTTTGCTTTTTTCCATTTCTTTCGCCTCCACCCCTTTCTATCCTTGTATAAATGTAAGTCTTTATATTTTTTATATAAATAAAATTTTACTAAATTTTTTATTTAGTTTCCTAACCATTATTGCCAATATTTGTTTGAAAAACAAATGTAAAAATCTGTGAATCACTGTATATTACTGGTAATTTCGCGATTATTTAAAACAGGATTTTACATGGTCGGGACAATTAGTAAAAAATTCTGTAAATATCGTTATATCGAGAATTTATTATAAAAATTGGTATCGTTATATCGAGCTTTGACTATACCTTTCCCAAAAATGTTGCCATGTAATTATTCAATTAAATAAAATTTACTTCTTAATATATTAAATACGGGAAGATAATCAATTATATAATTCAAAGCAAATAAAGATTCAGTTAGTAAATTTGTTTATCCGTTGAATTAAATCATATCCCTCCTCGACATAATTAAGCGGCTGAACCTCAACAAAGGTGTACTTCATCCTTTCAGTATCCTGGTAGTACTCACTTTTCGCGCGACACGAAAACACAAAGGACTTGAATCGCATTGACTTGAAAGTCGCTTCAAACTTATCATAATCACTCTCTTCCATTTCATGCAGTTCATTAGCTTCGATGCCAAGAAGTTTCAAGGCGATTTCATGGAAAGCGGAGACCCAAATAAGACCACTATGATCTAGTACTCCAACAGTAAAAATATATCGGTAGTCTGGTCGTCGTATAGTTCCTCGACATTTCTCACAGAACCAAGAACCGTCTCCGTTATCGATTACTTTCTTTTTGCAATTTGGGCATGCTGGATAACACCAAGTACTTTTCTCGTTGACGAAAACAATGGTACCTACAACCGAAAAATAATCCGCCTTGTTGTGTCTGCCTAAAGCAGGGTCACTTACAACTTGTGAAATCGTTTTCCTGGGCAAATTTTCGAAAGAAATGGAAACTCCCGTGGAGTTAGAAAGAGGGTGGAAAGTTTCGTCATTTTCAAGTGAGGAAAACCATCTGTGTAAAGTTTTTGCTTCGTCAATATCAGGGTTGATTTGAACGAAACTATTAGCGTACACTGAAAGATTGCGACCTTGAAAATCTCCGACCCGAGCCTTCCTGATCGCGATAACTGAGCTGTTCTCTACCTGGAACTCCTCGGCTGATTTCCCCCAAAGTGCTAGTTTTACCGAAGTGAAGGTTTCATCTACCAGTACAAGCTCTCGTTTACTTAGATATTTTTGCCCTTTTTTGGATAAGAACTGTGAGACACCATTATCTTCCATAATTACTCCAATGACATCAATCACGTCATCTTTATTGAACTCATTTAATCGATTCAATTTGATAAATTTATACTTGATATTCGGTACCCATTCTTCTTGGCATAAAGTAACTTTTGCATTTTTTTCCAAATGGATTTCGTAATCGTTGTGTATATCATGTATATCAGACGTTTTAGCTCTTGAAGTTTGGATTTTAGCATTACTGATCATGTACACGTTATTCTCCTCAATTACATTGTAAAATTTTTCGCAGGCTTCCGTAAAACAGACAACTTTAATCTCGCCCGAGTCGTCCATGATATTAAAGCTGAATATTTTTCCCTCGCCACGTTGATTAACGAATGTTCTAATCTCGGATTTCTTTATCACTCGTGCTTTTATTGTCCATTTATTTTGATACGGGTTGAGTGACATAATTGGGAGTAAGGCAGGTTCGTTGCCACGATTTGTGTTGACCGTCTTGGAATTTGAATTGATTGGGAATAAAACAGGACAACTTGTGTTTATTGTATTGTGATTTAGTCTTGTGTTATTCGCAAATAAGGTATCATCATTATGCATATTTTGCTGCTGTTCTTCTAATTGTTGTAGTAATTGCTGTTGTTGTAGTTGTAACTGCAATAACTGTTGCTGTATTTGTTCTCGCGATTGCGGTATCGTTGATCGCGGAGGCATATTTTGGTGAGATTGTACTTGCATGTCAAGTTTACTGCTCATATCTGGATTGCCAATTTGATAGTTTGGAGTCGAAACAACTTCAAAGCCACACACCAACATCGGTGCTAAAGCCTCGCCGCGAATCATGATGGATTTTTTATTACTCATTTTAGAATCATTAATCCTGATAATTGAGTACAGTTGTAACGCCTCCCACCTCCCCAAAATACTTTGTTCAATAACCGAAACCGGAATCAGCGCAGACACGACTTTCTCACCGTCTGATAAAGCAACCTTTATACTTTTTTCTGGTGGCGCAATGTGTTCGTAAAGGTCATAAGGCTGAAGCCCAACATTCTGAATTTTTAAGACTTGGAGAAAGAGTGGACGTTTAGACGTCTCGTTGTTGATTAACTTTGTAACGCCGCCGCGTGTTAGTGTAAATTCCATTTATTTATTTATTTATTTCTTTCTTTCTTTCTTTCTTGGGTTTTAGTTTGGAGTTGTGAAACGAAAAAGAACCTCGCTCGAGTAAATTTTAGCTCAAATTTTTTGTGAGTCACTTTCACGATATGTAATGGTGACTAATTTTCTAACTTCAGTTTTGATAGTGCATACAACCTAGTTGCATCAAATCACATGATCACAGTCTCAAATTCCAAAAAACAGAAAAATCATAAATAGCTCAAAGTTTTACTATGACAATTAATTAATTAGTTAATAATCATTTTAATAATCATTTTCATAATCACTTTAATAATTATTTTATTTTATAATTTGATTGATAATTTTACAAATAATAATTTATTTATAAATATAATATTTTTACACATTTTCACTAATTGTTAGTTAAATTAGCTAATCAATGTGAACAAGAGACTGGAAGATAGTGATTCCAGTTAATGAATTTTTTATCAATTGATTAGTTGGTTAACTAAATAAATTGTCATATATTTTTGTAATACAATTAGTTAATTTAATTGGTTAACTAAAATTCAAACTTTTAATTAATAATTAGTTGGTTTAAAAATTTCTAATTAATTAATTGTTAACTAGTTGGAAAACCAACTATTTAACTGGTATCACTACTAGGAGAAAAAATTAAACAATAAAAAAAGAAATAAAAAAATATATCTAAGTTATATATCAACTTTTATTAAAATTATATAATTCAAAAGGAAAATAATAAAATTTTAATTATATATAGTATTCTAATTAATCATACTAATTAAACAAAATATTTTAATTTATTAACAAATAATATTTTAATTTTTTATACTAGTTATTAAATATTCCAGAGCTAAATAATAAAAATAATAAAAATTCTTTCTTTTCACAAGAAATTGTAATATTTTTGATTGAAAAATTTCAAAATAATTTAATATAACAAAAATATCAAAAAATTAACCTATAACAAAATATTAATTCAATAATTTTAATATCAATATTTTGATTAATTCAATATAATTCAAAGCTACTTGTTTACAAGTTTTAAAATATATAATTAAAAAAGGAAGATGAATTGTTTTAGTATTAAAAGATATTTGTTTTATTATATTATTTATTTTCAAATTTTTATATTTATATATATTTAATATAAAAATTCTATTACAAAAAATTTTAAAACAAAATAAAAATAAAATAAATTCAATATTTTCAAAATATAATATCAATTCATTATAATATAATATTAATTTATTATAATAAAATTTCTTTTAAAAATAAAATTATTTCAAAATTAGTGTTAAATACAAATTTCAAAAATTATTATTTTGTTAGACACAAAAAAATAAAAATTATTTGTTTACAAGCTTTAAAGTACATATTTAAATACTTTAAAATTTTTATTTTTTTCTCAAGTTTTAACATGTTAAATTAAAACTCAACTATAACTTGTATTTATATATTTTTTATAAATACAAATATAATATTAAAAACAAAAAAAAATATAAAAAATAAATATACTTACTAAAAATAAAGTTTTAATTTATTAAATATGAAAAATAAAAAAATAAAAAATAAATTATTAGAGCTATTTTTTAATTATTTTAATTAAAAAATAGCAAATAATATTACTTATTAAGCAAAAATTAAATAATTTACTATTAAAATACTTTTTTAAAAATTTTAAGAGTTTTTTGTAATAACTTATATGCAAATTATTTAATATAATTATAAGATTTTAAAATAATAACTGAAAAACTTATTAAAACTATCTTTCAGAAAAAGACTAAAATTCAAAATAAAATATTAAATATCAAAAATCAATTATTAATAATTACTTACAAAACTTATTAATATAATTTGCAAAAAATTATTCATTAAGTCAATTCAAAATTTAATTAAGTTTATAATTATAACTTATTTAAAATAGAAATTTCTATACAAACTTTAAAGATAATAGTTATCAAATTTATTTTTTAATTACAGAACTAGTATATTTAATTAAGAAATTAATAAAGATTCTTATACTTAATTTCTATAGTTTTCAATATAAAATAATTATTAAAAGTTAACTTCACTTTTAAACTAGCTCTCTAATGATATAAGATAAATTATTTTACTTTACTAAGTTAAACAAAACTTGATATCTATTTCTTATTAATTATATTATTTTATTTATTTTAATACTAATAGTTTTAAAAGAATCTTAAGCCAAAATAACTAATTTGTAAAGTTACTTAATATTATTACATATTAATATCTCTTACTAAAAACATATATTATTAATATAAAAATATTTATTTTTGAGAAATTCAATCCAACTTTTAAAGTGATTAATTCTGATTCATCTAAATTTATATCTAAAATAATTAATACTTATTAAAATTTCAAAATTTAATTTAAGTTCAATAAGTTCAGTTTAATTTTAGTTCAAATTTTGAATTTTTCTTGAATATATTAAATAATCTGATTTGAGTTTAATTTAAATATTAAATCTTTTTTAAAAAATCTAATTCAAGTTTAATTTAAATATTGAATCTTTTTTGAATATATTAAAAAGTCTAATTTAAATTTAGTTTGAATATTAAATTTTTCTTGAACACAATAAAGTATGATTTGAATTTGAATTTGAATTTGAATTTGATTTAAGTTTGATTTAAGTTTAAATCTGATTTAGTTTGAGTTTGATTTGAGTTCAAATCTGATTTAGTTTGTGTTTGATTTGGTTCAAGTCTAATTTGAGTTTGGTTCAAGTTTGGTTCAAGTTTGAGTCTAATTTAGTTCAAGTTTGATTTAGTTCAAGTCTGATTATATTTAATTTAAGTTTATTATATTCAGTTCAAGTTCAAAAACAAGTTTAATAAATATTTAATTTAAATATAATATTTTTAATAGTTTTGACAAATTTTAATTAAATTATATAAGTAATAAAAAAAAGCTAAACAAATTCAAATTTATTAATATAAATATAATTTGAAATTAAAATAAAAATAATAATAAAAAATATAAAGTAAAAATCTAATTTATCTTTAAGAAGATCCTATATTTATAATTTAAAATATTAACTAATTCTAATAGTTTTTAATACAAGATTATATTTTTGTCAAAAATTATAATTTCTTCAAAAGAAAAAAATCATTTTGAGAATACAAAAATAATTAAAATAACTAAATAATCACAAGCTATTTTTGCAAGTTGAATTTGATAGATCTTAAAAATTTTAATATTGTTACCATTTTTTATGAGTTCTTGGGAGAGCAGGTGAGTGCTTAATAATGTTATAATAAGTTACTTGACCAGGGTAATTATAGTAAAGTTTATTAAGAATAACGGGTGGGAGAGTATAATATAATCAAATCTATATAATGCATCAAGCATTAAACTATGATTATAAACGAATCTAAAGGGAGGTAA